TGAGGAACCCGGCGAGCTTCTGTGGCGATATGCTCTGGTCTGATGCGGGTTGACGGTTCAAGATCTCCTTGATGGAGTTGATCTCCTGGAGGATCGCGCTGGTAGCATATGGAGGGGACTCGCCGGCCTCCTCTGCTCTTTGAAGATGTCGGACCCTGCTGTGTCTCAGTATCTCACCAACATCTCGTAAGCAACTGAGAGGGCAAGCTTACAGGTCTAATGCATCAACCGCCAGGCCCATTGTCCTCCTGCCCGTGGTCAAATGTGAGTTAAGGGCCGAGGCGCGGCTGGCTGCACTCCTCCACGCATCGTCACCGCGCCGAGACAGCGACCATCGGGACTTCTCAGGTCCCGTGTCAGTGACAGACCCTACGATCTGGCTGATAACCTCATTGCAGAATGCCGGGACGCATCGGATTTCGCTCAAGAGCTGGTCATCTCCTTCGCAACTCGCTACATTGCGTCGAAGTGCGACGATGCTGTCCGAGAGTGAGAGGACTTGTTCTTGCACGGGAGAGAGCTGTGCTTCGGCTTCAGGATGGGCCGCAGTGAAGTCACGTAAAGCTGCGGTGGCCGGTGACAGACCGGCTTGCAGCTGATGGCATTCTGAATTGACACTGCTGGCGTCTGACGTGCTCATGATGGTGTGATACTTGATCGAATGTCTTGGGAGTACATGGCGTTGAGCTTCATTCCGCGGCGGCAGTTGTCGCGCTTATGAATTAGCGAAATGCTTAACTTGCCCCCCCATCAGGCAGCCAAGTTTCGAAGCGGCTATGCTCAAGGCTGGGAATGCCAAATGATGTCAGGGGAACTTGAGTGCAGATCTGTCGTGGCACAGTCAGCACTTGAGCTTCTCTTTGGTTTAGTGCTCTTCACTGAGAGGACTTCTTAGAGACCTTGCGCCACTGTGGTGGTGTCACTACCGGTGCTAACAATTCTCCAATGAGGACCAAAGGTCATTAACTGTGCTACAGGTAGGGCTGCGTCCTCTCTCCCGTTGTTCCACCCATGCGATCCTGATCCTGCCGGTGATTCTTGCATGTTGTCATCTTTTATGTATGCCGTGACCTGGTTTCCACCATGCCACGGTGGGTGAATTAGGGATGGATGCTGCCGGCTTTTCACAAGATTATTAGGGAGTGCGGCACTTTACCTTACCGTGCGCTGCCCGCGTGTTGAGATCGTCGCCTTACAACTTCAACACTAGCCATGGCAACTTCTCGTGTTCGCGCTGCTCTTGCAACAGACTATTGAAGGTCGTTACAAAGTCTCTGAATCGTACTGCGTTCTAGCTCTATTGACGACAATTTGGGGCTTTCAGTTGATGTTGGCTGAGGGCTTCTGGCACCTCCACTCTACCAAGCACGGACATAAGTGTATAGGTTTGCTAGGCGCCTCCCCACCCAACCAATTATCACTGGATGTCAACATCCACCAATCCCCGATAGTCTAGTGGTGAGGATATCTGCTTGTCACCGGGGAAATCCCACGATTCGCAGGGGACCGGGGTTCAATTCCCCGTCGAGGAGTTCTTTTTGCTTTTGAGGCTTTTGTGTGCCGATTTTGCTTTTTCCTATTATGCATTAACTTTGTAAGTCACTTGTGCTTCCCTTGGCTTATTTAGAAATGCAGATATAAAGTAGTTGGTTGCGTGATGAAGCTTTAAATAGAGGACGACCGATTTGACTCCATGCCTACTTCATTCGCATATCCCTAACTATGCCAGAACAAACCCTGCGCCGTTCGAGATAGTCACGTAGTTGGGCCTAGGCAGCTCCTCCTCGGTTTCCCTGGCCTCTTCCTCCAGGCCTATTTCCAGAGTCTTGTCTCCATAGTCGAAGAACCAGGTCAAGAACCCGGTATACTGTATGCCTTCTTGGCAATGGATCCAATACTTTGGTGAATGCTTCCGCTGGATTTTCAGAGCATTAGCTACCCCCTTGGTCTTGAGTCCAACGCCAGCCTCGTTGATTGGGTGCGTCATTGCAATAACCTTCGCGTCGGAGTTCATCTCCATGGCGGCTTCGACGATACCGGGGTCAACTCCGTGAGGGCTGTACAAAATGACTTCGTCTTTTCCATTCGCAGCTGCGATTTTGATGACGATGGCATGGTAAAGGTTCGGGTACTTCTTGGTCTCGTCTTCAAGCCGGAAGATGGACAGCCACTCGGGCATCTCTGGCGTAGCGGGCCACGCCTGGCCACGTACAAAGTCCGGAAGAACGTGGACGTTGTGAAAGTGCTTCATTGCAGAGATCGTGGTGGCGGCGTCTTCTACGGCAAGGACTTTGAGTGATGGATCAAAGGTTCGCAGCGTCGGTTGGTGCAGGTGATCCGGATTGGTATGGGTGACGGTCACCGCATCGAGCCAGTGCTCGTCGTCTTCCTTGGAGCCCCCGACTGCCTCCTCAATCTCTCGAACTAAACCTTCGCAGGATTCGATGGTTTCTAGCACCGATTTTTCCTTGAGCGACAGCCGCAAGAAGTAGCTAATGAGCATGTCGCTGACGCCAAAGAGCCAAGGGTCTTGCAAGATATGGTAAAAGACCTTTTTACCGGTCCCTTCTGCAGGTCTGGGGATAGAGATGAGCCATGCGTTGTCGCAGTTTGCGAGGGTTACGATAGGTCGTCTGGGGGTTTGTCTCGCTGCGGCGAGTGTTGCGATGAGATTCGCGCGGTCCATAATGGGGGTTGAGAAATGGTGGTGGTGAGTACGCGACCAAAGATGAATTGTGCATTGCGGGGGGAAATGTCAATAAGTACTATGGTGATAATGATATTGATCAGCATGGCGAAGTCGAATGTGTTTGAAGCCCAACAAGGGACTATTTGCATCCAACCAATGTCAACCTCTAGAATCAGCCTGTCAGATTTTAGTTTACCATGTCAGCGCTCTCATGGGATTCATATCCAATGCAGTCTCTTTGAAGGATTCGCCTGTGAGTTGGTGCAATTAAATGGAATGATTCTGATAGGCAAATAAGATCACAAACGATAGAAATGTCACAACTTTGCATATGCCCAGAAACCAGGATCCGATTCACCTTGGTGGTTGCAGTTTACGACTTACGCTATTTGTATGGATTATTATAGCGCACGCTGTGAATGTCAATTCTGTTCCATTCAAGATAGCTGTACTCAGGAACATTCTGAATCTTCCTTAAATTCGATTGGCTGGGTTAGCAGTCGATGACATTTTATTGTACATCTTTGAAGTTGACGATTTGATACCATGATGGAAGCTCGTGCCAGGCATCTTTTGTGGGGCGAATTAGCGCTCTGGCAGATACCGCTAGTTTCTTGGTTCAAAATGTAAGCGCCCCCTCATTCCTCCATGAATCCACGAGGCAACACGTATTACTCAGATCTGAACTTTCTCAAAATCGACGTCTTCATTACAACGTTGAAAGCCCGCTCAAGTCCTCACGAAGGCAGCGATCTCTTCGAATCCACTCCGTCGTCGGTAAAACCCCACCCTGACTAGGTCTGACCTTCCCATGCTGCATTAGAAAGTCTAGATCTTTAGGGTACCAAATGTGCCCCAGCCATGTGGATAGAAGCTTGGCAAGGTCTGAACTGTATCGTAAAATAACCCGACAACTCGGGACAAACTGAGGCCACAGCTAGAGAATGTAACCAAAAATACAGAAAAGTCAACTCAGCACAAGCCAAGATGTCACCAAATCTTCAAGGTCATGGTTATGTTTTAGTGACAACATCGACGGCATTGCTGACTCGGTTACGTAGTTGCTATTGGTTACAACCCCATAGCGGTCTCCACTTGCCGCTTTGTCGTCGGAACCGGATGAAAGCGGAGCACATAAAACCAAGACACCTCGCCATCTTGGCGAGTAAGGAGTCGTTCTTTTTTCCTAATCTGGTCATGGCTAGTCGCGTTTCTCTTCTCATCTACAATTCTGCATCAGCACAAACCACTCAGATTGAGTTCAACGACCTGTAGCATCTCATCCCACCGGAATCACGAACTCAAATCACATGCAATTTGGTCTGGGGGGAGGGAAGTTTCTATCAACATCACACGTAGCACAAAACCTCACCTCACCTCACAAAATCGGCTAATGCCGGGCGGATTTCAATGGCTGCTCAAGCTCACAGGCGCTCTCGCAACGGTTCGTCAACCCGCACTCGACGAGGCTGACAAACGCGTCGAAGTCTCATCGCGCTTGGCTCTTTCTACCGTCTCTTGGCGTAGGATCTAACTTTTCTCTGCTCTTGACACAGGATGCGGGACATGTCGAACAGCCCGTATCAAGTGCGACGAGGCGCGCCCGTTCTGCAAGCAGTGCGAGCGTCGTGGTGTCGAGTGTGTCGGATACCAGATACATCTGAAATGGGTTGAGATCAGCGATATCAGCCCGGATAGCCAATCTGCAAGCAAGAGCGTCATCAAACCCCGAAGTTCTTTGACGATTTGTCCATCAAAAAAGTCGGCCGCGTGTAGGAAAAAAGCTATCCCCCCGACATCCGTAGCACGCAGTCTGTCAGTGGGCCCGAAACTTCATTCGTCGTCAGATGCCTTCATTTTCAGACACTGGGCCGACTCTTTGCCGGATCTTGTATATCCCAACCCTGAAGAATACGCTACCATACGGCAACCATATCTTGCCTTTGTCTGGAAGGAAAATTCCATCCTTCTTCCAGCGGTCCTGGCTGCCGGGTCCGCCCATCTTTACGCACTCGGGAAGCTCAAACATGCAGAAACTCTCGAAAGGAAACAGAGAGCACTCTCCACAATGGTGGCCTGCGTAAAGCAGCCTAGAACCATATCGAATCCCCAGTTTCAGACGTCATTCCCAGTGTATTTGAGTGAAGAGGCAATTGCAGCATCAGCAGCGCTCGTTGGCATGGAAATCATGCAAGGGTCGCATACACCATCAATCATCCCTCTTCTTCGAGGACTTAAAGCGCAAATGCAAGAAAGACACAATTTACGACAAAGAGTGGCCGCAAATTGGCCAATCGAAAAGGACACTCCAATGATGGCAGTGAACGTCAAGATGATGGCTTACATCGACACGTTCTGCTGCGTACCTTGCGCAACACACCCGGTCTTTGACGAGCAGGCCTGGCAAGATCTCATCCTCCCAAAATGTCAAGACTGCTCTGCCGCCAATGGGCCAGACATTGTTTTCGGCTACTCGATGCGCATCTTGCCGGTGATTGGAGCAGCAGCCTCGCTGGTTGACGACTTCTTCCAAATGATGATTACGCCCGTGGGCTTTGTCTCTTCTCGATGTCATCTCCTAGAAAAACTTGAATCAGCTTGCCAAGATCTTCCACCTCCTCAACATCAGCCAGATCCAAATACTGATCCATCGGCTCCGCCAACGAGTCTCAAAATCCGCGATGCCAACGCCTGCATCGCAGCCGCCCGGGCCCACAGCCTGGCAACACAAATCTTCCTGCTCCGCGCGGACGAGGGTGACTCAAGCACGTTGGCAGCCGATCGTCCCACAAAGCATCCCCTGGCTTTGGTGGAGCAGCTATACGACGCCGTTGCCGCCGTGCCGCTCGACACGCATGCGGCGACCATGATGGTTTGGCCCGTGTTTGTGCTCGGCTGCGAGAGCATGGCGGTGAGCGCACGGCGGTATGAGGTAGAAGACCTGTTTGAGAGGATTATCGACAAGCAGAAACTTCTCAATATCTCAGTGGCGCTCAAGATGCTGCGGGAAAATGTTTGGACGGGCGGTGTGACAAACACTGCCAGCCCTGCGAGTGATTTGTCCCCTGCAGAAGAGCCGTGTCGATATACACAGAATCAGTGGGTCAAAATGTGTTGGGGAGAGCGGCTGCAACTTTGTTCGGCATAGGAAAACTACATGTACCTTACAAGTTTGCAATGACCGCAGATCTCACGACTGTGCGTGCAATCTATGACGCAGTAACTACATGTACTCGTACGAGAGATGAGATAGAAGATGGGAGGCAATATTGGACTTTTGGATAATGATGATGATTCTATCTATATTCTACACATTTTGATCGCTCGAGGTTCTAAGTACAGATGTTTGATAAATAAAGGCTATTTGACAAGAATGTAACTGGTGACTGGTTCACAGTACAGTATTCGACATAGGAAAAGGGGGGTATCTTTCCGGTTTCCGTGGTACAGAGGGGATAAAAAAATTAAGACATCTTCTTCGCTTGCTCCTCCAAAGTTTGAATAAGTTTGCTTCTCTGCCGAATCTTTTTGCCCCACTTATAAAAGATAAAGGGGACGGGCATGAGCACGACCTCGGCGACACCGACCGTAATGCCCGCGATGCGCGGTGTCAGGGCGGCGTACATGCTCTTGCCGACGAGCACCAACACGGCGCCCAGAATAGATCTGAAGACGAGGTTACCGGCTGAGGCGGAGGTCGCGTACATGCCAAAGACTTTTGAGATGTAGCTGGTTCCGTAAATGAAGACGAGGCCGAAGCCGTAGCCGAAGGGGACACCAGATAGGACACTCCAGTAAAAGGGGATGTCGATGGGTAGGGAAGTCAGAGCGAATGAGAGCTGGCCGACGGGCTCAAGGACCGCACCGATGCAGATGAGAAGGACGACTGCCTCTGGCTCCTGTTGGCCAGTCTCCGGGTTCTTGGGTTGGCGATTGACCAGCTTTCTGAGAAGCGGCTCGGTGGCTAGGACGAGCGCGATACCGACAAAGACGCCGAGGAAGGCGAGACCAGAAATGGCGACGCTCCAGCCGCGCTCGGTGGTGTAGACAATAGGAAATGCGACGTAGGCCAACTGGACGATGGCGTAAATGACAGATATGTAAATGTTCCAGAACATGAGCACGGGCTCAGTGAAGGATAGGATGAAGGGACGGGACACGGCCGTCCTAATTCTGCGGAAAATAGGGACGGTGTCGTCAAAGTCGGACCAGTATCTGTGGTCTTCCTCTTCTTGCCGCTTTGCAGCAGCCTTCTTTCTCAGAAGTGTAGGCCGGTACGTCTCTGGAACGGTCATGATGAAGAGAGCTCCCACGGCTGTTGAGATCAATGACATCCAGTTGAGTGATCTCCAGCCGAAGGCTTCAACGAGAAATCCGCCCTGTCATTATTGTTAGTGACCTGGGCCGAGGATCTTGAGTGATTGGAACTTACCATGAGAGGCCCGAGGACGGGACCGTTGAGGGGTCCGAATGAGTACACTGACATAGCCAGCGGCAAGTATTTGGGGTTCGTGATGTCCATGATGGAGCCGCCAACGTTGGAAAGCATGACACTTCCCGCGACAGCACTAGAGTTCGTGTGAGCAACTGATCTTATAAGTGAAGGAACAATGTGAAGGCGGCTTACCCTAAGAAACGTGCCACGATGACCATCGTGAAGTTGGTTGCCAATGCGGCGAGAGGAATCAGTCCCAAGAATACTGTCAGGCCTCCAATGTACATTGGTCTTCGGCCAAAGGTCTCACTCAAAGGTGCCATGATAAGGGCACCAAGGGCAAGGCCGACGAGGTAAAGAGAGATACCGAGGAGAGGTAGCGAAGGGTTGGTGACGTTGAGCTCTTGGCTCATCTGGGTGATACCACTGGAGTAGGCCGTCGAGTAGATGCCCGTAGCCAGTGTCGTCAAGGCAAACATGGCGACGACGAGCACACGGTAGGCCGTCGACCAGTTCTTTGGGTCATCCGGGTCTCCATCCCAAAAATCGACACGGAAGGCCTTGAGGGCTGTTGGCGGGCCCTCGTCGTCTTCATTTTCTGGCTTCTCGTCATACTTCTTAAAGTCCTCGACATCAAAGTCAAAGTCTGGTACGTAAAAGGACCATCGTGGAGGGAGGGCAGTCTTCTCGTTGAAGACACCCTCGATATACTCGTTGGCGACGGGGTAGTATGATAACCTGCTTAGCCGCGGCAAGCGGGAGAAGCGGTCTGATGGTGGTGGTTCAAGTCCAAGAGGTTGGAAGCGTTGGCTTCTTCGCATCCATGAGCTCCTGGCATTGATGAAGGAGTGCCTACCAGGAGGCGGCGGTGGTCTTGGTGGGAGAGGAGCGAATCTGGTCTGCTTCTGTCCACCTGGAGGGTAGAACTGTAGCCTGGCGGGGTCAGGCACTTGGAGAGAGTCCGACATGGTGATGGATCATTACTGCTAACTTCCAGACTGGTAGCGGTGAGTGAAGGAGAGGGAATGGAGGTTTTCCTGTCAATGATGGGCCTCATTGAGTGATAACTGCAAGAGGCAGGGAAAGGAGCCCGCCGAGGACGGGGACCGACCCTATCAGGACCATGAAGTCCAAGGGGCGAGAACCACATCATTCTCGCTTGCTGTGCTACGCATGTCTTGGATAATTGACGGGCAGCGTCTAAGAAGCAACGCAGGCCTTACATCTCACGCCCCCCCTCCCCACATGGCATACGTCGTTGTAGCCGCCAGCTCGGGGTGGCTGATGATGAACACAGCTCATCATCATGCTTGGGGACCCCAGGGCCGGTGATCGACTAGGATCACCTTGGGTGCGGATCGGCGGCACCGCAGCGATAACCCAGGAATTATTAATTTCTCTGAGGACTCCTGAATCAACGAGACGCGACGGGGGAGGGATGGGATGGTGCCCACAACGGACGACCGCAGCGGGCAAGCCGCAAAGATGATGTGCCAAAAGGAAAGCCTTTCGGGTGGCCCATGCCCCCCTATCCCGGCAACTACGCGTCAAACCCCACGTGCCGTTACGGGTTGGCGTTATATCAAACTGTTTTAAGGACTTTCGACCCGAATGTGCGTGGGTGGAGTACGTACCCTCCGTTGGATCGAGTCAATGCGACGCTGGTGAGGTTCCTAGTGGGATAAGACTAGGAAGCCCCTGTCGGTCGATTGGTCCGTACTCAAGGAATATTCCCTGGCTATGCACGGGCGATCATCCTGCAGGGGCTCAAGTAGAGATGGCAGGGTTAACGTCCGTCGTCTGCCAATGATAGGAGGAAGGGCGACTGGACGACAGGATCTGAGGGAACCAAGGTGCGGCGTCTAGAACCTGTTGTGTGAAAGAGATTGCAGGTGCCAACTCCAGTCGAGGCGGACAAGCGGGGTTCTGCTTCTCTCTTTCTCTTACTCACTTGCCGTTCTGGGTTCTGGGCAGCAAAGGCAAAACAAACTCATGGAGATTTTTGACTTGTGACAGTGGGTGGGTGTGGGTTGTGTCAGTCCCAGATCTCTGGCAAGAGAGGCAAGCACGGCACTCATTCATCCACCCGCTCACGCCGTGTGGCACATATGCTCCGCAGAAGAAACTCTGGGTTTGGGATCTTTTCCTTTGCTGAGACTTGAGGGGATTATGGAATATGTACTACCTAGCCTTATGTCGGCATCACGGCACGGCAAAAGAGTGCCTGGCGAGGTATCACTAGGCCGGTGGATGAAGTATCAGGATATGTGCAACGACACATTTGTACGTTGATGTGAGGTGTTTGCAAACAAGGAGGCCCAAAGTCGAGACTTTTCAAACATCGATCAATCGATCTTCACCTCCTCAGGGAGGATTGATGATCTCGCCATCACCCTGCATTAGTGTGGCGACAAATGTAACATGCCCTACGTAGCACCACCGAGAGGTACGATAAACTGGATTCAATATCTATGCCAAGCGTGAATAATTTCTAGGAAACAGATTTACATGGAATGAAGTCATCTCGAGTACACTTAGTTCCATTTTATACTTTGTATCGAAATGAGATGGCAAAATGAGAAGCCTGCAGTCTATAATCTCGTTCCGGAGTATGGCACATCGTTTTGGGAAGAGAGGTATGTTTTAACTTGAGAGATAATACGAGATATGATCATCGAATTGTGGTATCGAACATAAGAAATGAAGTCTATGGAGTCCCCGAAAACCGCTAGTTTTGCCTAATAATCCCGAATCCGAACAAGATATTTACAATGAAGATTGGACGCCTTGTGAGCAATTTGAACTCTGTCCGTTAACGTCTGTGAAGTCCTCCCTGATATCCGACAACGCCCTGCCTCAAAACACTAGAAAGCTTTTCTCAATACAAAAGTCGACAACCAAGTGGCTGTTTATTTTGTCTTGAAAGCCTGGCCAATGGCGCCACCAGGGTGGTTCTTTGCAAAGACTGATGATACCGATGAGTACATCTCCTTTGAAGCAACATACGCCAAGGCATCGCCCATGGCAATGGCCATGGTCGTAGAAGTGGTAGGCGCAGAGACGCCAAAGGTATCCTTCTCAGACTCGGGGATGGGAGCAGGGAGGAGGATGAGATCAGGGCGGGCCTTTGCGATCTCGCATGTCTCCATGCTGGTGGGTGAAGTGAGGAGGATGAGAGGGCACTTCTTGTTGAGGTGAGGCAGGAGGAGCATGAGCTCGGGGGTCTTGCCGGAGAAGGTGATCATGATGAGGGTGTCGTACTCTCCCACAATGCCCAGGTCACCGTGGAGGGCCTCAGTGGGGTGAAGGAAGACGGCGGGGAGACCCAAGCTGCTGAAGGTGGCAGTGAGCTTCTTCGCAATCCAGCCAGACTTGCCGACGCCGATGAAGACGACCTTGCCGCGGTGATCGCGGTGGCGGACAAGAGCATCAACGGAGCGGTAGAAGCCGTCGCGGCAGACGCGCTCGGAGGAGTAGAGCTGAGTAAGGGCCATGAGGGCGTTTGCCTCAGTGCGGAGGACGTGGATGGCGCCATCGAGCCGGTCTTCGTATGATGATGAGGCCCTGCGGTCCTCGTGGGTGACGTCGCGGAGAGGAGATCTGGGCATCGGTGACTTGGGGCCGCGAATCTCATATGATTTGGCGAGGTTGACGTTGAGCTCTACGGGGCCGCGGCTGCGCATGCCCATAGCAGATCCAGAGCGAGGAGGAAC